AGTGGAAAAAGGCTTAGCCTACAGAATGCAGAACAGTTAACAGTTCTAAAAGTCAAACTCAATACTTTGCTTGAATCAAACTTTCACAAGCAAAATAGTGCTGATTTCAATTAACCCACCATTCTCTAATTTGTAAGAACTTGAAAGTGAAGGACATTTGCATTGCTGTAAGGTAACACTTTAACTCTACAAATAAATAATTCCATAATAACCATTACATTTCTATCTTTTTTAGACAACAAAGATTCATTAAAAACCTAGGTTCTCACCATCAGACAAATGTACCTCATCAATGCTATTCAACTTCAATTATTTAAACAATACATCAGTAGACAAAAGTCTACAGCAAATGTTTAAATATGTAGTGGAATTAAAGTACTTTATTCTATATGTAAGACAAAGATGGCCTTAAAATTCCCATGTCTGTTATAATCTTATTGTTTTTAATACCAAATATTAAAAGAATAATTTTGAGATTTCTCTCTAACCCCCCCACTTGCCAGTAATGGAAGCAGAATCTATGTATTATGAGACAAAGTTTAGCTTCTATGTAATGAACAGAACACTACATGAAGAATGGCCTCTTCTGGGTATAAAATAACATCTGCACAGCTAAGTTCTGTCATGCCGAAAAGTACTCACAAACTGTTAATGTACAAAGGGCATTTATATTTAGAATCTTCAGTTTTAGATCAATTAGTTATGAACTAGTCTAGAAAAGGCTTATAGAAATATTTAGCAGGTTATTTCTATGTGGACTATTCATGTAGTTACTACTAATTCAACAAATGAATGCTAAGAGCCTGTCTTTCTTGGGGATATGGTCATTTTACATGGTAACATTACAGAGTGGCAGCTAGGTGATGCAATGGATAGAGCTCCAGCCTTGAGTCAGGAGGACCTGAGTTCAAGTATAGCCTCAGACACTTGATACTTACTAGTTGTGTAACCCTGGGCAAATCACTTCACCCCAGCTGCCTCACCAAAAAAGAAAAGAAGAAAAATTATAGAACCCTAAGAGTTGATACTTCAAATGTCTAAGCCTTAATCAAATCATTAATCTTACCATCGCTTTTCAATTAGTTTATCTAACCACTGCTGAAAAACCTCCAGGACCTTACATTCTTACAGACTTTAACAAAAAAAATTTGACATTCAGCATGTCACTCAATCCTTTTTTTTTTTTTAACCAACTTTGTGAGAGGCAACTATCTGGTTACTAAATTGAAAAATCAAGTACTGTAACAACCAGCGGCTAATTCAATAGATTACAAGATCTTAAATTTAGAACTTGAATGGACCTTAGAAATCACTGAGTCCAGCTCCCTCCTCAACGATGAGAAATAATGAAGTTTTAAAAAGTTAAATTATTTCATCTTAAAAACCACACAGATAGAACATGTTAGCTAGAGATGGAAATAAATGCAAGGGTAAGCAAAGCTTCCTACCCCTGGCCACATGTTGATAACTCTTAACTGGGGGCTCAAAAGTTGTTGTGTTTGAACTCAGGATTTTTCATCTAAAATAAATCCCCGAAATCTGAAAAGAACCAGACTTCAGGAATTTTACTGCCCCCTATGCTTAAAATTAGCTAATTAACATGTTACAAAGTTGAACTCCTCACTTAATTCCAATTTAAGCATTCCTTCTTTCCTGTTTTTATTGAAATACTGCCAAAGAAAAAGGTACAAATTCATTAACAGTCTAGGATAGTATATTTTGTACCTCAGTAGACATCACACAGATCCAAGGCATTATCTTAAAAAATATCATGGAATTAAGCCAGTGAAGAAAGAATCATCATTAGCTAGAAGTCAAATTCCTTCCCTGATTTCTGTAAGATGGGATTATCAATCCTACTTATTACAGAGTGATGAGGTACCTAAAAATAAAATTGAGTTGACTAGCATAAAATATTTTCTGGATAAAATGTCAGAATCAGAACAGATAAAGCTTCAGAAGTTATCTCATCCAACCTTTAATGATTTACCATTTATCCTATTTTAATGCTTTTACAGTATCCAGAACAAATGGTCATTTAGCTTTCATTGAAGGATTTACAGTGAGGGCTATCCACTCAATGATACCCACCATTAAAAGTCAACTTTTTTTTTTTTAATTAAAATAGTTAAGATTCAAGTTTACCTGAAATAAAAACAATGACCCTTTTCAAAAGAGCTCATGTTCATTTAAAACAAACTTTTTAAGTAAAATAATTTTCAACCAAAAACTTAAGTTGTGAATTGGGTTAGAAATGTATATTTAAAAAGTTTAACATTTATTGAGTGCCTAGCACCACATAAAACACATACAAAGAATTTTTCCCTGCCCTCCAGGAGCTTACATTCTAAAGATGACAAAACATACACAAAAGAGGGAAGTAAAAAGTGGAACTGAGAAAAGAATGAATGAAATAAAGTGAGCAATAAAACAGGACACACAAGACACTAAAATAAAATGAGGTGACATAATTCTGACATGTAAGCAACACAAGCTCACTCTATACAGGGTAATCAAATAAAAAAAATATAAGTATCACTGGATAATGAATAGATGTCACCTGCCCGGTCTTGTACTTAAGTTCTAATCAAATTTGCAAGTATTTAAAGATAACTGCTGTCACTCCCTTAGTGTTTTCCAAGGAAAGCTCTTAGCCTATTCAAATTCTTCATATACTGTTTAGCTTGTAATCTTGTTTCAAGAAAACGAAAGGTAAATTTAAGTGGGTTTTGCTAAGACAGAATTCTGTCACAATATACAGGCTTATAGAGTGAATCTTACTAAGACCTAATATATTCTATCAGCGTTTCACTATATGACCTCAAGTCATCCAACTTCCTAAACACTTTCAAAATTAAGAATGTATCTTGAGAAATGAAAACGGAACAAAAGAGAATTTGGGATAACTAAAAAGAATTTTTAAAGAAAATTTGGGTAAAGAAAATTCCAGTTGAAGACTTTGTAGAGACACTAAATGATGTACAAAATATGAAAACATTCTGAAGAGAAATCTCTCCTCTTTCAAACAACATAGATATTGACGTGGTCTTAAGTCACTAAAATATGAAGCTAAAACACAAATGTTTTTTCCTTATGTCAAGATGTAGAATAAAGACTGATACAAACATATTGCTTTCAAATGGACTATCAACCACAAAGCATACTTTCAAAATTGCCATAAAATAGGTGAAGATATGGGTTAAAATCACAAGAGGCCCAATATAAGCATGAGAAACAGTGCTGTGTATTAGAACCATTTCTTAATTATTTGTGGGTAGATGATCCACTTATAGGATTATCAAGGTATTTGCTTTTGCCATTTCCGTGAGCATCTCCAGCATGGGCCAGGTCTGAGAAGTACACAAATGCCTCAAATACTTTCCAGGTATGCACGTTCTCAAAATTTTCATTTTACAACTCCACTTCATTGTTTCACACACTCTTCTTAGATTGACAAAAAAAAACCACCTGTCTCATTTCAATAAGATTTACCCAATTCTTTGCTTTAATTTTAACCTGCTGTGAATTGGGTTCTAATTTGCTCATTTCCTGTCAGATCTGCGGTGTTTAAGAATCCACACCAAAACCTTTCTCCCCCCCTTTGCCCTGAAAAAGAGTTGGCTGTAGGTCATAACTGAATGGAGATGCCAATTCCCTTAGGTGTCCTAAAATTCTCTCCAAAGTTGAAACCTCGAAGCACGAAAATCAGCTCTCTTTTCAAAGTTCAGCTGACAAGCCTAAAAGAGGCAAGAAATGACAATTCATGATCATTACACAGGTGGTAGGTAGCAGCTTTTCCAAAAACTGCCCTCCAAAATTTGAAAGTACCACACCTATATAGATAAGGTGCAGAAATTTTGGTCAAAATGTACAAATGAAACTCATGTAGCAAGTTACTAGTATCTGTCCTCACTCCTAACATATTTTATGCTATCAAATGGTGTCAGAATCCTATTACATTTATATCACAAAGAATTTAAAAAAAAAACCACCTGATATGATGACAAAAGACAACTATTTACCATAATGGCTCTTAAGTCACTCAAACTTATAATTCAGTAACCCATTTTACTCAACGCTCCAGTTTTGGAAGTAAGGCACTAAATTAAGCATTTAATCCAGCGTGGTCTAGACAGGTTAGGGCAATGGTTCTCAAAAAATGATCTAGGGATTATTGGACATCTGCCTTCCCCCACCAACACACCCTCTCCCCTCCATCCCCCCCTTTAATTATTGCTTATAACAATGACACTAGCTGTGTCTTAAATAAACAATCAATATATTTAGGTGAGATTCCACAATGTCACATCAAAAGTAGTATTCTTTCTCAATTCTGGAAGATATTTTTGATAATCACTGACTACCTTATCTTGCCCAGAGACCAAAAAAATTTGAGAACCACTAGGTTGGATACATGAGCCCTACACCCCCTAGTTTATCCCCACATACAAATACCAATTATTTAAGTCCCTCATTCTTTTAAGTGTTCTTGACCAATTCAGCTTAATAAATGCATTTAAGCTGAGTTCACCTACCTAGCCTCATTTGCACAGTCATCTAACTGTGGAGCATAATATTTAAGCAGATTGATGTTCATTTCCCTCTCCAGAATTCCTGGCAACCTCAACCTCTCACATCCAAATCTTCAGGGGAAATGTATTTGCTAGAGACAGAGAATGGAGGAACACTGCATGCTGGGACATGTTCCTAGAAAAGCAGAAATGAACCAAATTACCATGATTTCTCCATCAAAATCCATAGGAATGTACTTGACTGCAGAATGTTTTCATCTGCAAATAAAATTAAGAGAAGTACATCCCAGTAATTCTAGCCCTAAAATATGCTAGAATTAGGGTAATGCCTAGTAAGATTTTTACTTTGGGTAAGAAAAGGGCAAGCGCACTAAATATTCCACAAGTCTATTAAAAAGCTGTTAAAAGAAAGAAGATGAAATGGACACCCACAATAATTCTTAGACTCTTAAAGGTCCTAAGACATGCTACAAAAATAGGTCTTTATTCTTAGGAAAATATAGTCAGAGCTAGCTTCCTTATGCTGTACACAAACTCTTAACATCAGAGGCAGTACAGAATAGTACAAGTTTTTTTTTTTGTTTTTTAAACTAGTCTCAAAACAAGCACAAACCCACTAAATTTAAAAGAACAGGTAATTTGAGGATTTTTGGCAGAAGACAGTACTTCACACATCTAATGCAAATCAAAAAACCCAAAGACTGACTAGATCGAGTTCAAGGATTCTATATTGAAGGAAGAGGGTTATAATATAGAAACAAGTGAAAAAATCCAGTCACCCTTATAGTTAACTAGAAAATACCACTTATACTGAGAACTGATTGTTTCTGAAATAAAAATATATATATTCAAGTACAAGTTTTTTGTTTCTCATTGCCTGACTGCCAAGAGTTTCCATCTGATGAATACTATCAATCATTTTAAGAGTTTATTCTTAGCCCCAAATTTTGGTTGTAATACTACACTTTTTAAAAAATTGTTTCCTAATAATGTTTCAAGGGCTAAGAAAGTTAGGGACACCGAGTTCCTAGTAAGAGGGTGTGCGGTATCAAGATTGGCCATACCTACGTCACTTTTGTAAATACTTATTAGAGAAATACAATTATCTTTTTAATATGGAACAGGGATTTTGCTTTACAGGTCAACAATGATACTGAACAGTCTTTGGAAAGTCAGTGGCATATTCCACTGAGTAGCAAGAAAAATATAGATCAATTTACCACTGTGCCACACTTTGAAACACCATCTCATAATTTTTATTACTACTGAATATCTAAGTTGTAAATTATTTAGTTACTCACCAATTTCACATCCACCACTGAATTCAAATGGTGCAGGTCAGACAAATGTTAAGAGTAATGCAATCTGTAGCTACTGAAGAATTTTCTTGGAGACTATGCTTTTATATACTTTAAGGCCAAAGTTTTTTTCTCCAGGCCATTGCAATCTCCCCACCCCAATATTTTAAGAGCTTTTACTTATCCCTTCGATAATTGCAAAATACATCTGATTACCTCCCACAATGTAAAGGGTGGTTCATAACTGTTGGGTGAGGGAGGGTCAATAGATTAAGTGACATTAGCTTGGCAGTCAAAAGGTTGTTCTCCAAGTAATCAAAGTCCTATAAATCTGACACCTAATATCACATGTATCACTATGCCAAATAACTGAAGATTTTGTAACCCAAATCCTAATAACTTGCAAAAAACTCAGTTCTTCACACTAAACCCTTTCTGTATTTCCCGGTTGCAACTGTGTCTAGACAACTCAGAGAAGTTGCCTTTTAGACAATAGCAGAATTGCTATTTTAGCCAATACTTAGCAGGAAGGCTTCTGATGATGGTTGTACAAAAATCACTATGACTTCTATTTCAATAATTTTGATTTTGTCACTTTCCCTTACTCTTTTTACTTTAATTCAAGTAGCAGGTGGAAATTCTTTCACATCTTAATGACAATTTTGGGAACAGACATGGATATTATTCAGAATTTGTCCTGACACACTAGCTAACTTTCAAATGAGAATAAATTAAATTTGCGATCGTTTTGAACTGTAATTTCTAGTAACAAAACCTCATCTTATTTCAAATTTGGTAAGAGTGCTTTAAGAAGGTAATTTTTCAAGGGAATGGTACCCCACTTTTCCTTGTCAGTGTAGACAGAATTTTAATCACTCTGTCCATTTTTGAGACTGTCAAAGCCAAGAACCCATGAACAAAAGCACAAATAGCAATAACCTACATTATTGAACAATTCCCTTGACATGTTGACATTAATACTAAAAGATTAGAAACTTGCATTTCCAGTACTCATATTCCCATCACATTCCAGATATTATTGCTTTATAGGTCATGTTAACAATCAAACTATGTTTATATATGCATTGCCTGTTTTCCTTAATCTTTTGATTAGTATTTGAAACCGATTTTACTATAAATTTAAGTTTGAAAATACCATGGTTAATATTTCTTCTCAGAACTTCATTGTTCACATTATCACTAATTACCACATGCATATTTAGCTCTGATTATATTGCTCAAAAACTGCACCCATATCAGAACAGTGCAAATCATATTTAATTTTAAAAGATATAATGGCTTGAATTCAGTTATTCAAATGAACACTGTCAAGTAATTTCAATTGTATGTGTGTGTATATATATATATGTGTGTATATATATATATATATATATATATTTATCTTATTCCAAAACCACTGCTTACATTACCAGTGAGAAAAATGCTTTATTCACCAATTCTGACTCCCCTTGTAAGGATCAGTTCACCCTCCCTCTTGCCCCAATGAAGAGTGCCAAATTGTTTTCACAATCCAGCAAACTGTTCATTTAAGAACACTTTTGTGAGTCTACAAAAGTGTTCACCCTTAAATTTCATGGCAATGAGATCTATTAAATGACATTGATCCTTTCCAAAACCCCAGAACAAATAATTCTATAATTGAAATTTAACTTTAACACCTTGACAGTGTCCCTTTAAACTATATGACAGTAAAGTGCCAATAAAGCATGGCAATAACCTCTTTCATGGGATAATTTAACTCCCTGGCACTGGGAAGTGCTAGCACCAAGGATTACATTAAGAATCAGATATGAAGGCTACATCTAGTTCACTCACTTTTCATAAACCTAATATACTATCTATCATCATGTTAAAATGTAACAATTATTGATGTAGCCCTCAAACTTACACTAAGTTTTGAGAGAAAATGATGAATTTTTAAAAAGCACGGGGCAATATATAAAATTAGTGGCAGGAAAAGTGTTTCATTAAGCACCAGGAACTAATTTTGCCACCCACTCTTGTTTTCTAGGTTAGTTTCAATAACCGGCAAGGCACATTTACATATATTCCAACGAATACTTATTGACAATTTAAAATTACACTTTATGTCCCAGCTATCCCAGTAATTGACATACAACATACTAAAATGGTTTATTAAGATAACATAAAAAAAAAAATCAATTAATGTGAAACATACAGGCTATTGGCAACCACTATTCTAAAATTATGTAAGTACAAGTAAACATACTGAAATGTGTGCAATTCTAAGTTTTTAAACCAGAAGATCTCTGTACTAACACACATTTATATTAATGACACATAAAAAAAATAAAAACTTTATTACAAAAATAAGTTACACTCGCCTCCAGCTTACAGTATAAAACAATTTTATTTGCAGGAATGCAAAATGATTGTTTGCCATGAGCATTTTGAACATATGACATGTCTAATTTTTCTTGTTAAATTTGCATTTACTGGGGAACTGGTGTGTATAAAACCTTAAGTATAAGCTCTGATCTTCATTGTGGTGCCTATTGGGTATGTGGTATAACTGCAGTATCCCTTTGGGGAAGGGGGAAAAGGGAAGCTCTTTATAGCAAGTCCTAATTAAATTATAATTTCGCGTTTACCTTTAGCTAGATAGGACTTGGAAGGATTTTATTTCTCTTTTGAGGGTGATTCATTAGAGGATGCTTCACCACTGAACACTCACTGTCATCAAGGTGCTTTAGAAAATTAAAAACATAGCACAAATGATTGTACTCTACTCTACAGGTTATCATGATCTGCGTAAGAAATGGAAAGCTGATTCTGGTTTTTACAGTGATCAGCTGTAAGAAATGCACTAATGAAAACATACCTTTTACCTAAAAAGCTAAACTACAGCCATATACTATTTTCTATGATTTATGAAAAACTTCAAAATATCCAAATGTCAGGCTTCACTGTACAACTGTCAGTTTTAGTCTGACTTTTTATAAAGGGACACTGCAGTATTTAGTACAAGTTGCGGATGCACTTTTTTGAACATCTGATGTCTTACAAAAGTAACATCTTGCTAAACTATTATACATCCAAATAACTACAATATCTGAAGAAGCAAGGCTGCTTTTTCAGCCACAAAATACGACAAAAGCAAGGCCTGTTATGATGGTCATGAGGAAGTCTTACAAGCCTCTGAAACTAAAGGCAACTAAGAATGTTACATTTGGTATATTATAATCTTACCCTCATATCATATAAACAAGCCTTGCTTTTATCTACAAAGATTTTCTATGTACAGTACAGACAGGGTATAGTTCAATCCTCTGCTACTGAGGTAGTTAACCAACCCTTTAAAAAAGGTTCTGAAAAGAACCACTATCTGGAATGCCTGACTAACCAGCTCTGATGATTACACCTGAAACTGCTGTATCCGAACACAATTCAAAAGTGATTACTATAAAAAAGATAGACAATCATGATTAACCTTTGTGAGCAGAAATAAATTTAAGGATACCAATGGTGGCATTCATCTATACCACTGCAATAAAATTTAAATGCACAAATTCAAAAGAATGTTTCAAAATACCACTTTTGGAATCCTTAATTTAAAAAAAAACCATGGGGGAAAAATCTACTTAGAGCAGATTTTTTAAAGAGAACTTTATTCTTTATTAAGATACCATGCTGGAAGTTATGAAGGATTTTGTTGGAACACATTGGGAAAATAGAGTAGCTTTAGTTTTAATAACTTGCACTGCAGAGAAAACTGTTAAAGAAATTCATATCAAAGTCCAAGTATTAGTTCAATGTCCCGTATTTGATTCCATGATCTTCATAGGAAGGTCTTCTGCAATAGAATATGCTCCTATACAGCCGAGATACTTAAGGTTGCTTGATTTCCTTACCATTACTCCACTGCAAGCTTCTGGTGTAATCCCACATAGCAAGTCAGTCTTCATTGTAACAGGTCAGGACCGGCCTCGACCCCTTTTCCCTGCTAGCCAGGTAACAAAAGGAATCAGTTAGATAAATCATTTTAAATTAATAATGTGTACATTATAATGATAACAGTAAAAAGCCTTAATAGTTAAGTTTTTAAAAAATAAAGAAATTACTAAAAATGCACGTTGCCATTTGGCAACCAACTTAAAAGTTTTAGGTTACTTTTAGATGATTAGAAGA